TGCGGGGAGCAGGTTGGGGGGGGGCTGGGTCCTTTGGGTTTTGCCTTTCTTCTGCTTTGGGGTAATCCTATAATGTATCTTATGCAAGATGACAGCAATGCTTGTGGCAGTCCTTGCATTCTTAAGGGACTCCACTGATGGTTTCCTATCCTGCCTGCCTGTTCTGTCCTGTCATTCACCGAGGACAGCTGGGTCAGAGCTAAGACACCCGGGTGCACCCAGAACTGCTGAACCCAGCTGCCGGGGCTGGGGACAGCCGTGGGCTCACGGCTGCACGTGCATCAGCCCTGCTTGTGGGCACTAGCTGGGAGCTCCTGTCCATGGGAGCAAAGTAAACAAGGCCCCTCCCCGAAGGCAAGGGAGCATGGCCACAAAAAACAAACCAAAACCAAACCAAACCATACATGGTATAGACATATTTTCATTGCTTTATTAGAAAGAGGTCTCTACACTATAGCCACCTCTCTCATTACTTTACACAGTTTTTTTTTTTTTTTTTTCTGTTTTCCTTTTCCCCTTAGAATACTGTACAGCTGACACAATAATCCCAAGGCAGGAAAATACAAACTGGCATATTTAATCAAAACAAGATCATATGAAATAACAAGCCAAGTGAAACGTCTGTCAATTGTTTTAATTACAGTACAAACAATATAAATAAAGCATCATCGAGTCATTGTGAAACATAAAGTTGCTGAATGAGGTAATATAAAAAACCAAAAAAAAAACCAAAAAAAACAGCAACAAAAAACCAACAAAAACACCACCAAAATAAACCACCCCTTCTCTGGATGAGCCCCCGCTGCTCTCTGGCGTCTATGCCTATACACGGCTATTTACAGACACAGGACACAATGCTCCTCAGCAGGTCTCCCCTGGTCTCACCCATCATGGTGACCGGCAGCCCCGGCTTGCTCGCCTGCCCAGCCAGGCTCAGCTGCTTATTAAAGCTCTGCAGAGCTTGGCCTGCTGGGAGGGTCCGCCCTCCTTTCCACCACGAGCAGCAGTTTCCAAACACCCCCTTTGCCTCTCTGACCCCCAGTCAGCTCCCTTCTAGGGGCAAAACTGCTGGGCCCTGGGGGCCTGAGTGTTGAGCTCACGGGTACGGGCAGTGAGCCAGAGTGACCTCCTGGACTGGCCCTAGATCCCAGCACCCTTGGTCCCTTCTCTGTTCCCCTGCTTCAACAGAGCAGGCAGACAGGCACTGTGGCTGGCCCTTGCTGGAGGGTGGGGGGAGGCCAGGATGCTGTTCAATAAGCCCCTGCACCCCTTTACTCCATGCATGATGGACTGGCTGGTGCAGGGTGATCTTTCCAGAGTGCTAGGGCCAGCCACAGCAGGAGCTCCTGGGCTGGTGTGGACACTAAGGAGGGGAGATCCAGGATCTCTCCTGATCTGGGGGCGGCTGTCCCCAGCAGCTGGCCTGTTGTGGGGATTCCCTAACACCCTCACACCTCTTGCTCCTTTCCTCACCTGCGTCAATACTAATGCCATGGAACCCCTCTGGGTAGGCATTCCAGGTCAGACTTCAGCAGGTGAGTCTATCATATGGCTTGATTTACGACCCCAGGGAGGGGTCCCCTGCAGATGCAGCGGGATAGAACAAAATAAAAAACAAGCCCTGAGCCGGCCTCACTTT